GAGTACTGCACGATCAGAAGTGGCTGCTCACATATAAATGCCAAATTCGCAAGCGGGACACAGAGTGGAGGTAACACATTTAAAGTACAAAAGAATGCCTACATTCCGCACTACTTTTACCACTTTTGACGGTAGAAATTGAATTGATGTCGGTACAAAATCACCCCTCCCCCCACTCCCACCCCCTCCTATAAGATCTTTTGTGCGTAGCAAGGCCACACAGATCAGCACGAGACCGATAACATGAGACACCGAAAACATCTGTATACTCTGGTACGTCTGCATGATACACACTCTGATGTGTAGGAGAGTACATAAGCACAACAACAACTCACCGTGTACTCGCCCGGAAAATACTTGGATAATTCAGCGGGTTTGAGATCCACCACTGGATTGGTCAGTTCCTTTGAAGCAATCTGTGTCATGTGTTATCTTGAGATCAGCTGTACGCAAGATCAACTAAGTAGACCGACAGCCGCAATCTAAAATGCCAAATTAACCAATACGAGACCAGCTCACTGAACGGAGTCAAAACCACACCAAATATTAAGGTTTAGTACCTTGAGTTGTTCTACGAAGAGTTCTAGGACCTTGTCCCGTGATTTTAAGTCCTTGAAGTGCACAATGAATCGGTCGCTGTCGCCTTCACGGTCTTTAGTTAAGACGACAAAGTGCAGGGTACCCTCTGTTGGTGAGTAGGAAGTAGTGTCGACATGGTCTCAATGTGATTGGAATAGTACAAGTCGACCGATTCACCCTTAGCAGTAAATGTATGGGAGCAGGGCTACAAAGACTACGTCCAAATAAGAGATAGGATCTATGCGCTCGTATTAGCGGTGATGAGCTATGATTTGTTCCAGAAGGTTCTCGCAACAAATACAGCCCTTTTTACTATCTCCCCCGATACCATAGACATATTCGGTCTGACTTAGACCAGCGCATTTTTTTTCCAGTGATAATATAGCGTGAGCGATACTCATCCGGGTCAATAAAGATACTATAGAAGGTTGAGGCTAAATGACACAGCAAAGCTTCTGCATGGAGAGGAACGTTCGGAGGAGTTCAGGTAGTGTGTTCATCGCTTACCAGGTACAGCAAACATGATGTCCACGTCGTTGAATCGGACGACCTTCAGGGCCGTGTAGTGTCGTTTGTTATCAGAATTCTGATATGGTCTGCGCCAGACAAAGGATTGTGAGAAGTGGTTAGTTAGGATACCTGTATGTTTGAGGTGAACTAGAAGGTAACAGAATTATGAGAATCATATCCAATAGATAAAGACTACGTGTGAATCAGTCAAAAAAAAACGTACGACCACTCAGACGCAAACGCAAAAACACAAACCTACAAAATGTAATGCAAAAAAATTTCATTATGCAAATGTATATGCGTATATACCTTCTTTTATTAGTGTATGCATGTATACACAAACATATTTGGATATAGACATAAACATACATATTGTATAGAGGTATAATATATATATATATATATATATATATATATATATATATATATATATATATATATATA